AATTGTTGATATTCATAGTACTTTAATATTGTGATTTTAGATAAATTCATATAGAAGGTACGGCAAATTTGTTCTATACAAAGATATTGTATACTCAAATAGTGGCTGTATAATAATGTTTTGTCATCTTTACTTTTTGCAGGGTCCTTTGAGCTGGTGTTAATTGTTTGATTAATTCTCCCAGATAGTTTACATAGGTCAATCCACTGATGTGATGTCCTGCTCTAGAGGATCTTACAAGAGATCGATAAGTGGTCTCCATCTTGGTTTCAATGGTATCCAATGCATTATAAGGAGTTGGTAGTATATAACATTCGTAGAGTGCAAGATTAACAAGTCATTGACAAGAAGATTAATATCGATGGGTATGGTTATATTCTAGATAAGTGTAGGTTCTTATCTTGGTTTATTTCCTCCTTGTATGAGCATCTATTTATAGATTTTGCTCATAGTAGAGTTTTAATTGTCTTTTATTAACTAGTACTGTTAATACTTTTCCACTTAGTTCTCATAGTTTATACGCACTATTTGCTATTTTATTATGTATATAGTATGGTCCTCTCTATTTAGGCACAAGCTTATGGCTTTGCATACTTAGAATTCTCAAATTTTCAATAGAAACCTTATCTTCTATTGAAAAGTCAGGATGGCTTTGATTTGTCAATCGTGTTACTTTTTCTGTTTTTCCTGGGTTTCTAGAATTTGGCGCAATGCTTGTTTATAGGCTTCTAGAAGATCATGGTCGATCTTGTATATTCTTTGAAGGATCGTCTCATTTAATAATTCGTCAGACGTACTAGGATATACAGGTAATTGAGCCTGTCTACTGTATACTAAGTAAAATGGCATTTCATGGGTAGAGGCTTGTTTTGCCGTCCGATATGCAAACAGTATTAGTGAGATAAGTAGATCCCAATCTTTTGTATATAATACTAACTGTGAAATTGCATTATATAAGGTCTTATTAAAATGCTCAACAAGTCTGTTGGTCTGGGGATAGTATAGATCAAATAGTGATGCTTAATTGACAAAGCCGCAAGTAATTCATCAATGAGACGATTTCGAAAATAGGATCTATGATCAGTTAGTATGAAATTTGGGTATCCATGTCTACATACTATCTCTTCATAGATAAACTTCGCCACTTCTTCTGCTATTTCTCTAGGAATGGCACGCACTTCTGGCCATTTCGTTATATAATAGGTGGCTACTACAATATACATATTTTGCTGAAAATAAGCTACCTCCGAAAATAAGCTACCTTCCTTTTTTGCGGGTTGGTTAAAGCGGAGCGAGGT